GAGTAAAAGCAAGCGTACTGTACTTATTGTTTTCCTTGCTCCCAGGCTGCTCCAGGCACCTCACTTTATGTGTGGGGAGGTGTAAGCGATGTGTGCAGCGGTATCTGGAGAGCATCCAACACCATCACCCTTCCTCACCACCATCATCATCAACTCTGGTGTATTCTCTCCGCTTACAGTATCTGCCAGTTCTCGTTCTGTCTTTGTCCCTTCTTTGATCCTGCTCTCCTAGCCTTGGCTGGCCTTGCTAACAGCAGTTCAGCACAGGCCCTACTCCACTCCTACAAATAACAGATTTTATGCCAGCCTGGAATGATGCGTGTGTACTGACAGGAGCATCTCTTCATGCGCTCCGAAATGGATAACGAGTGGCTTGTGCTTTCATTCAGCTTAATTTCTTTATGTTGCCAGAGCATTTATAGGGGCTTTTCGTGGTTCTGGCCTTGTGCTCTTCTTGCGGAGCACAACTTACTGATTGTGGGTGGAGTGAGGGCTTCAAAATAAACTGTTTAAACATCGAACGCGCGGTTAGCAGAGAGTGGCATATATATTTTTGAAAGGTGAACAAATAGATCATTCCCTTACAGTACATTTTATGAAACCTTGCTCAACACTATGAAGTCAAAAAAGTAGTGATCTTGGGAACGCCTGATAACAGTGGATGAAGTAAAACACCCATAGAAATAAAAACATAACATCATGGAACATTCTCTGTGAAATATATACTGTTAAGGCTATATTATGTTATAAGTATAAAGAAGTATAAAGAATAGGTCTTGAGGAGAGCGTTTCATGATAGTATATTGAGCCCATCTTAATCTTGATGTCTTATATTTTATGTTTATTTTCTTAGTTTTAAGTACACTCCCTATAACCATTCAACATTGTGATCACTTGTTGGTGAGTAAATGATCACTCAGCGCTGTCTGTGACACAGCACCCTCATGGGAATGCCGAGCGCGTCAACACACTGCCACCATGAGTAAGCCAGTGGCAGCCTGACCCAGTCCCTCCTAAATCTCACTTGTCTGTCTCCGGACTTCCCACTTCAGTTGGCAACCAGTAATGAAACTAAAAACGTGCTGACATTTTTTATTTCTCCCTGCTCCTCCTCCTTGAACGCGCACAGTTGTTCCTCACCCTCATGGCACCAGTATTGGCACTAATTGGCAGCCTACACGTTCACGAATTGATTACACATTAACGGTGACAGCAGACAACGTTGTTTTGTGAGCGCAATACCTCACACTTTCACACAACACTATCCGGACAATCTCCTTACCTAATTGCATTATTGCACTGTGGAGGTCCATGGACAAGAGGGCTCAATAAAGATATGAAGCCTGGGAAAGAGTGGGAGCGGTAGGATGAGAAAAGAGGAAGAGGCAGATAAAAGCACTAGTATGGATAGAGGGGGGTCATATAAAGAGATGAATGACTAGGATAAGACTAAGGAATGCATGGGGCTTCAATGTTTAACATAGAAAGGACACTGCTCTGTCTGTTGTGGCATAAGAAAATGTTGCACCTGTTTGTTTTCACGTCTGGACAATTGTTATGTTTTGCTTTTCATCATGTGATCAAAAGACTTTACAACAGTGTTCAGTGTGAGTCAGCCCATTTCCCACAGATTCCAGCGATAGAGCGGTTGACACACAGCAGCAGGTTACACTCAAAGGACGTACGGCGGCCAGGTGCAGCTATAAGACAGGTCGGGTTAGGTGGGAGGGACCTCATACAGCGCTGCAGAGCTCGTGCAACATGAGCGTGAGAAAGTCACTGAAGCAGAATACCACATACTGTCTGGTTCTCTTCAACACATTTGTGTAGAGGCTCTGTCAATGCCATTATGTCCAGAGCAAGCTCAGGTGTTCTCTCGGATACACTGCTGTGTGACGTCTCAGAGCTACTAATATCCAAATTTAAGTATTACATTATATTTGTATGGAATTCTTGGTCATATGTGTTACAAGTAGAGATTTGAACACCGGTACTTAAGCCCTTAGTCTTTACTTAAAGTGCTATGTGTCATGTTGTGAAGTTGAGCTGACATTTAGTTTAGTTTTTACTAGTGCTGTCCAACGATTAAAATATTTAATCGCGATTAATCGCATGAATTTCATAGTTAACTCGCGATTAATCGCAAATTAGTCACACATTTGTGTGGGTGTGTGTGTATGTGTGGGTATAGACCATAGACTGTATAGAAACATCATGGTGTCATTATGATGATGATAAACAATTTGTAAATATTTTGTAAATTTGTTCATGTAAATACTCTATGCTGTTTCTCTGTTTACTTTCGGTATATCTATGACTGTATACTGTTTGCTTGTATTGCCTTTTTTATTAACCCCTCCCCCCCATCTCCCACTTCATGTCCCCCCCCCCCTCCCCTCCTGTGTGCCCTTCAGGGTTTCTTCTTTGGCCCCCTGTATCTCCAACTACATATTGTTTGTAATCTCTGTCTACAATGTATATGAACTAGTCCTTTTCTTTGTTTCTATTTTTTTGTTCTGTATATGTGTTTGTCTGCAATAAAAAGTAAAAAAAAAAAAAAAAAAAAAAAATTAATTGCGCGATAAAAAAAATGACGCCGTTAATATTGATTTGCGTTAACCCGTTAATAACGCGATATTTTGGACAGCACTAGTTTTTACATTTAGGTATCATGTTTTTTTTTTTACATTAAACATGATATATTTTTATTTGGGGGTTGTTCATATATTTGGACATTTTTCGGGAGGCGTTTGAGTGGCATCCATTTTGTCAGTTGTTTTCTCTCAAATGATGTTTGTTTACAGTGAGAGAACAGGGCTCTGCAATTCCATTAAATAAGTGGCACATGTTAGATTGCAACTCAGTTTAATATTTCAATTCAACTTTATTACAGACTCTTGGTCTGTAATAGTTGATTAGTTTAGTAATTGGTAATTAGTTACTGTAACTATACATTACAATTTAAGTAAATAAGCAGTGCAACATTACATAATAGTTACTAAGAAATACTTGTAAATCCATATCAAACAAGAAAACACAAGACTTTACTAGTCTGGATTTCTTTGACTATAGTCAACTAGAAGAGAAACTTTTGCTATTACAGTATATGTTAAGTAAATATGATAAATTGTTTGAGTCGCTTTAAGGTAATTTGTTTGTGTACGCATTAAATGTTTTTGATAAAACACAAAAGCCATATATATCATTCAGATATATTATATTACAACTAAAGTAACATGGTTACTTTGTTTTGGTTGTAACTATTGTTTTAAGTAATTAATTAACTAATTAGTACTGCAACAGCAGTTACTTCAAAACGGAATTTATTACAGTAACTACAGAGATCTTATTATCATAATTCTCACTTGTAACCTAATTATTTGTGTTTAAAACACTTTGGGGTAACTGTCCCCATCTCTGTGGGTCCGGCCGCTGAGCTCCAGCATATCAAACTGTTGATCTTGCGGCAAGCCGCGAGTGACGTCTCACAGATGCAGGCAGCAAGCCGCGAGAGGAGCGCCTTCCTCCGGTCGCCTGTGCGCCACGTGTCGCGGTTTCTGCAGCAGCTGGGGGTGTGCTCTCAGAGCAGAGGCGCACGTCCCGATGTCTGAACCAACCTTATCGACACTTGATAATATGTTGAGCTCTTATAACGCATGTAGCAACACCATTTGTATTCCAAGGAGCCGTTTAGCCATTGAATACGATTTCAACAATGAGAAAACGAAAAAGACGGCATGTAGCCTATTTTTATTACGCGATAAACCTATGTGCCATAAACGCGTCTGTTGGACGTACTTGTGCTCTATGGAGTGGGTGCGTACGTGTTTCCAACCTATAAAGATTAGATCTGTAATCTGTGATGATCAGAGGAGGTCTGCTCGTGCGCGCTTTTCTGCGCAGCTCTGGCTCACATTCCGATAAGGGATCCAGCTCTCATTGTAGGCGTGGTTTTCCCAGGCTTTTAAAACAGCAGCTGCTATTTACCTTCCCCTCTAATGTAAACCACCACCGCCGCTGCCACTTCCCTCCCCTCCATCAGCGCGCTCTCCCGGCGCAGCGGCCCCACGGCAGCCCAGGGGCCAAACCTCCGACTCAGCCACCCCGCTCATAAAACATCCTGGCACGTGCTCCACATTCACAACACAAACACACGATCAAATACCCATATTTACACCACAGACCAAGAAAAGTTCACTGTCAAATGTTAGGAAATCAAAACTTTTGCTCAAGTATTTGTTCGGATATTTTTGGCAGACTTTCAAGGCGTGCAATATTCTTGCTGATCACTAGTGTTCACTTGAAATAGCCTAGCAGTTTTGACAATGCTAAATATGTTTAATTAGTTTGGATTGATTAGATATTTATAATAACAGACTTATAATATCAGTTTAGTCACATACTATTGCGCAGACTGACCTACACGGGTAAAGATAAAAAAGTGTATAGTTTCATATTGCGTATCAAGGTAGTTGGCTACTTGTTGATATTGTGTTGTATTTACAGTCTATGGTTGGAGCTGGCGCTCACTGTGGTGGTGCCCAGTCAGCGGCTCCACTGTTAATATGTAAACGCCGCGATGATTGAAGACTGAAGGCAGTTTCCCCGGCTGTGCCCTGAACCCGAGCCGCGCGCATTGGCCGCCAGCACCAGTGGCCAAACAACCAATGGGAGGACGCCGACCACGAGCCGTCCTCCCTCGGGCCGCGTGTGCCTCACTCTGATTGGTGGGAAGTTACTGTGGGAAAGAAAGTTTGGGAAGTTTCACACGAGCCGTTCGCGTGCAGTGCGTGATATAAATAGGCGCCACACGCGGAGAACCTCACAGAGAGTCAGCTCCGCTCGCCTCAGCATCCAGCGCGGCGCGCACACGGATCTAAATCTCAGGAGTTCTTCACGAGGACACTGTTAACAAGCCGAGTTGACAACACCTTACATCCATTTTGTACAACACTGGGACGTAATTTGCCTTGTTTATTGGGATTTCTGCAACAAAGAAGATGCCTGCAGACATGATAGAAAAAACGTCCTCTTCTCCGGTCGCTGCGACCCCGGCCAGCATGAACACGACCCCTGATAAACCGAAAACAGCGTCTGAACACAGAAAGGTTGGTATTCTGAGTTTGACATATAATTACAATGAACACATTTCATGCGAGTGGTTTATCAAGCACCAAAGCACCATCTTTCTACACAAACTTATATGTACTTATCATATTTTACAGTCATCTAAACCTATTATGGAGAAAAGAAGAAGAGCTAGGATCAACGAAAGTTTGGGACAACTGAAGACGCTGATTTTGGATGCGCTCAAAAAAGACGTAAGTTTTTCAAATGGCTCGTTGATAGTGTCAGAAGAAACTTACGGGGTATGGTGCTAACCGTGATCATTCTATCATCCAGAGCTCCAGACACTCGAAGCTTGAGAAGGCTGACATCCTAGAGATGACGGTGAAGCATCTGCGAAACCTACAGAGAGCTCAGATGACTGGTAAGTCCTGGGACTAAACTGTCTCGTGATGCGTCCTTGTCCCTGCGTGACCCCCTGAAACACACAGCTCAGTCTAATCATGATCTCTTTTGCACAGCCGCTCTGAACAACGATCCCACGGTGCTGGGAAAATACCGCGCTGGCTTCAGTGAGTGCACGAATGAAGTCACTCGTTTCCTTTCCACATGTGAAGGCGTCAATACAGAAGTGAGGACGCGACTTCTCGGACATCTGGCCAACTGCATGACACAAATAAACGCCATCAACTACCCCAGCCAGCATCAGCACCAGATCCCCCCCACAGCCGGCCCCACGCACCCGTCTTTTGGCCAGTCTATGGTGCAGATCCCCAGCGCATCTCCACAGGTGATGAACCCGTGCAAAGGAGCGCCCTCTCCCGCGAGTTTACCGCCAGAAGCCACTAAAGTCTATGGTGGTTTCCAAATCGTGCCTGCCACAGACGGACAGTTTGCCTTTCTCATACCCAACACAGCATTTGCCGCGAACGGCCCCGTTATCCCGGTTTACGCCAATAACGTGAGCTCGCCGGTGTCCTTGCCAGCAGCCGTGTCTCCCGGTGTCCCATCGGGAAACTCAGACTCGGTGTGGAGACCGTGGTGAAAGCTCGGACTCTAAATGACTTTTAACACTTCTATTTGTTTAATGCTAGAAACTTTGAATATGTTTTGTAAATGAAGAGTGCACTATATTTGTACAGCTAACAAGGGAGTTAAGTTCATATTGAAATGAGATTTGTATCGTGGAAGTCCATTCACTGCATTTTTATAGGTCCTATATGACTTGTTTTTACTGTGTGATGCCAAAGATTGTCTAATGCTCTTATGATGTTCTTCGTTTTGGAAGACAAATAAATGAGTAAAATAGCCTACTATATGCGCCTTTTCTATTTTATTTCTGAGTGTATGAGTTTGGGCGATAGTTGAGTCTTGGGGAGGGGGGGGGCTCTTATAAGTACACCAAACATTAGGCATAACATTAACTAATTAGAGTCTTCACTGCATGTAGCAACACCTTTTGAATAGAGCATGTGCGACAATAATTGCACATACAGCGAGTTGCACATGTGTCCAGTTTGTTTATGTATGGTTAAATGTTGCTACTTTCTTCTTAATATGTTGGCTTCGCAGTGGAACACAAACTTGCCATTACTTACTATAGGCCGGAGCAGACAGAACTGCATAGACTGATGGCATGCCGATCAGCGTCCAGTGACCACTGAAGGAACTATCAGAGGTCACTGGCGCCATCTACCAGCTGAATCACGAACTGCAGATCGATCAAAACATCAATGAAGAGGGGTTGTGTCATGTGTCTCTGTGCGTTAGTTGCCTACGAGTGTTCGGCAAAAGTAGGCAATGAGCTGGAATACGGATAAATATACATGATTTAATTAATAACATTTTGCAGCATGAAAGTTATAATGAATGTATTGCTGATATTTGGGATGGTTTGTGGATTGTACATAATGATGTGAATTTATCAAGGTGTTCACTAATGAAAACAAAACATTCATTTTAGATAACAATTATAATTTTAGTTCAATAGTACAGATCTAGTCACAAAGTAAGTGTAGGATATTAAGTGGAAGATTCACTACTTTCCTGTCCACATTTTGTCAATTTTAATTCATTTTCATTTATTGATTCATTTTGAGCAGATCAAATGAAAAAAATAATAACAAATGTAACAGCTGTACATGCTTATTGAATCCCACCCCTATTGTCCATTGCTACGTCACAATATTTTAACTTCCACTTCCACTAAATAAATGCAGTTGTAATGATCCTTCAGATTACCAGAAACCCAGAAAGATCATTAATAGTACATCCGCTCTTGCCTGGCTTCCGCCATGCAGGCCATGAACATACCATTACTGCAAAGAAGAGCCTTTGGCCGTGGCTTTAATCAGAGCACAGTGAGTTTCTTGATGCCAGGGAGGCGACAGCAGAAGACCGTGTTAAACATGCTGCTTCTAAAGCATGTGGTAGCGCTCTGCTCTGCCCAGGTGCATGTGCCCCCTCCAGCGATCTGAGTGTGGCCTAGCTTTGAAGGGGGCGTGTATGGAGAAGGTGGAGCAGGTGTTTGCAATTATCAGTGCGCTAAGAGGCACAAAGTGTGGATAAGTGCCATCATTTTGAATTTCCATCACACCTTTTTACAGGGGCCATGCATCCCTGTTTGATTGAAGCCATGTGTGTATTTGTGTCTGTCTCTGCATACCTCTCCCTTTCGTTGTATGTGTGCACGTGAAGGGTGCCAGGTTAGGACATGCCTGGCTAAAGGGCTCATTGGGTGAGGCAGTAGAAAGTGGAAGTTTAAGGAAGGGCCTATACCACACAAGATAGAAGCTATTCTCATGTTCACAATTTTGCACACTATGTTCCCACACATTCCAGCTGTGTTAAGAGGAGCTTCCTGCCCCAGGCTCTGAAGCCACAGCTGGACACGGGCGTCTGGGAGGCACGTGTTGTGACCCAGACAACACCCAGATGCCTTCATCCTCTCAAACCATCTCCTTTTTACCTCTCCCCACACATCTACGGCTAACTTTTTCAGAGCCTCTTCCCCTATGTTGAAGTGCTTTACGAGCCTCTCCAATTACCTGGTGCAGTGGCCGGCTGCCGGAGTGACCGCACACATGTCACAACACGACTGAGAGGTTAGCCACCATGCATATCCATTAACTTTTCCCACACTCTCCATGCCTACAGCCAGGCAATGGAGAGAAAAAGCCCCTATGCCTCCTCCACTATTTCCTAAGTGTTACCATATGGAACTCAGCTCTCTGCCTCTCTCGGCACTGCTCACTTACGGCCCGTCACCGGGCTGTCTTTGATTGCAGACCAGACAAGCGAGAGCTTTATGATTTAAGCCCAAAGCTTGCTGTACCAAGCCCTGGACTCATTTTGAAGCCAAACTTCTCTCCCTCCCAATTCTTTACTCCCCCTCCTATTGCAGTTGCAGGGGAAGGCTGTTTTCTGGCAGGAAATGAATAGCTCCCAGATGAGCGGAGGAACCTGAGAGGTCGTGAGAAAGAGGCGAACCCCCCTCTGCTGGGCCGGCCTGCTGCCAGCCGCCAGGGGAATGTGGGAGAGCGCCTCTCTGACACACGCACCAACCCCTTTGCCCTCCACCACACCACCTGACTGACACACTGGCTGCCTCAGCTTTCGGCCCTGAGCCTGGAAATAAACTGACAAGCGCCACCATCAGGCAGTGCAGCTAGTCAACGAGCCAAAGGAGCAGCAGGAGAGGGAAAACTGTGGGAGAGAGGGTTAGGGTTAGGGTTTGTTGGCTTTGTGTGGGCGGAAGTGGATCAGTCTAAATCCTGAGCCAACAATTCAAAACAGCAGTGTTACATCAGTTATGGAAGTTTACAACAAGACTCTGACTTTGCATAGATTACGTTCACCAAGAAGACACCATTCATGCTGTTGTGTTCATTCATCTCAAAGGCCTCATTATGCAGCTGATTACTAGCATGAACTTACATTGCCTCTCGAAAGTATTATTTTGTACATTTTGTCAGGTTTATAATCATAAACCTAAAGATTTTATTTTTAATTTTACTGAAAATAACATACAACTGTGAAGTGAAACTAAAGGGATACATTAGTCTATTATTATTATAGAAATAGAAAAGTGCATTAAATTGTCTTAAAACATTCCTAATGACTGCTACCATGTGGAAGAGGGTGCTTTGGTCAGATGAGACAAAAAATGAACTTTTTGGCCCTTATGTAAAACGTTTTGAATGACGCAAACCTAACACTGCTCATCCTCTTGAGTGCACCATCCCCAATGTCAAAAATGGTGGGGACTGGGAAGTGTGTAAGAATAGCTGGGAAGATGGATTAAGTCAAATACAGGGAAATTCTGAAGAAAAATCAGCTAACGTCTGCTAGAGAATTGAGGCTGGGTTGAAGATTCACCTTCCAGCAGGACAATGACCCTAAACACAAAGCTGAATCTACAATGGAATAGTTTAAAACAATGTATTAATGTGTTAGAATGGCCCAGCCAAAGTCCAGACCTAAAACCAATAGAAAATCTGTGGAAAGACCTGAAAACTGCTGTTCACTAACGCTCCATCTAGTTTGACAGATCTCAAGTTGTTAGTTTAAGAGGAATGGGCTAAACTTTTTGTCTCTAGATGTGAATATCTTGTACAGTCATACCTCAAAAGACTTGGTGCTGTTATTGCAGCAAAAGGGTGTTCCACAAAGTATTAACTCATGTGCATGTCTAACTTTTCGGTTTTCTATTAAAAAAAAACCAAAACTGAATCATCATGATTTTGCTTTCGCTTGACAACTGTCTATATTTATGACTATTAACATGACAAAATGTATAGAAGTTCAAGCTGTATTAATACTTTTCCAAGGCACTGTACATTAGGCCTCTCCGTCTGAGATCCACATTGTATTGGGCGGACATTCGTGACTATAACTTTAATCATCCTACATATAGCCTCAACTGAGCGGCAGTATCAGGAAACACAATAGTTTTAAAGCTTTAAATTACTATTTAACATACTTCAATCTTCTACAAAAGTTGTTAATGTACATTCCAAAGAATAAAATAGTGTTATCAGTAGTGAAGATCATGATGTATCGGGACTTCTCGTCAGAGGGTATCCCAAAACTCCTTCACCAAAGGTCTATGGCCTATTATTAGCCTGCACCCTGTGACTTTGCTAACTTCACACCGCTTTCCCGTTCGCATGGCTCTATCCTCTCACACTGGGCTTTAGGGCTTCTATGGTAACCTGTGAGGCCAGTAAACAGGACAAGCTGTCTGCGCACAAATCCCAGCAGAACGGTGCCCACTTTCCTTGGCTCACCCTGCATCACAACAAAAACCCCACCGGAGGGTCCCAGTACCAGCCCATTCAAATGTCAACCACCTCGTTTGATGTTGCACACTGCTATGTAAATCCAGCGTGTTTCTCACCAGCCGAGGAGCCCTTACAAAACTAAGTCTCTGGCAAAGGTGGTCCAGAACATAGATTCTAGCTTCAGAAATTTGAGTTTCATTTTTATGACAAACACTTATTGAAGATATAAGATACAAGATAAGATATGCAGAAGTGCAGAAAAACAGATAAGACAATACAAAAATGAGTTAGGTGAAAAGCTAAACAATTGAAAAGTAGAATTCAATGATAAGGAATCTAAATCAATTAATCTAAAACAGTCTTTTGTTGTTTGAGAGTAAATAAGTTTGATGCATTGATATTTAATTATTTATTTGAAGTGATTTAGATGTCTGCATTTTTACTTGGACTTTTACTTTTTACTTCTCTAAACACACAATTCTTAACAATTGTGGCTGAGATTGGCGTAAGTGTCCCAGAGAGACGTCTTGCGTGCGGCTGGCCTGCAGTCCACTCAGCGTACTCTTTGCATTGCTATGTGTTCTACAAGTTCTGTCCTAGCGTGGCAAGCTTTAGTTTCCTTATTAACGGTCCTTCTTTGCGGTTTCAGGTTCCTTTGAGATCCAAACAAAGTGAAACCTGATTTTCTTTTTTTTTTCTTGAAACAACACAATAGTCTAGCACATTGCATGGAGTTGATCAATCAGGAATGTGATGTCATTTAGCCAGTTGGTGCTGTCCCATCCACTGAATGTCATAGTGAAGCATTTGGACTGCATCATGTTGATGGATTGCATCATCTGTGTGCTTAGACATGAAATGGCATTATCCCACCACTCTTTGCTCTGTCCACGCACGAAGCCGCCTTAGCTGTGATGTGAAGCACAACTTAATCCTCTTTTCTTGTTTTGAGCCAGTGGCGGGAGCCGCAGAGGAGCTGGCCACAGAGATAGCACCACTAGACCTGGCAACACAAAGTAAATGGTGTGTTTCTCCAAGAATTGTTTGCGGATGTGCACAATGAGGAGTTTGTCTATGTCATTTATAGTGTCCGTCTGTGATTGTAAGTATGTTAGTGTGCTTTTGCTTGTCTATCGGCCTACCAAACACATTCACAAAGCCCCCAGTGTTTTTTTCCCTTTGTGTAGTTCATCACTCCCACTACATCCTATTATCTTTGCTTGTTTGCATCATGTGTGCATGTTTGTGTTTGAGTCGGGGCAGAAAGCTTGTGAGGATGTCAAATAAAAAACAAAGTGACAACTTCATAGCATTTTTTTATTTTTCAACAATATTCACTTATTTTGAGTTACATTCATGATGGTGCATCCATGTTATTAATAACATTTCATCTCTATTTATACTATTCCGCTTGTTGTGTTTAATAATTGTGTATTATAGTCAAATAGTGATAATGTATTTTAAACTTGTACACCAAAAGACAACAACAGTATACACAAATAAACAGCAATACACAGATTCAATTCAACTTATTCTTGTTTAGCCCCAAATCACAACAGTAGTAATATAAGAGGGCTTTACAAAACCGTGGTAAAGTTTGATAGGGCGACAGTAGCTCAGTTGGTAGAGCATTGGCCTTTAGGCCTGAAGGTCATGGGTTCAATTCCCACCTTGACACCTTGTCCACCAACTCCCACTGATGACTGCTGTCGTTGTGTCCTTGGGCAAGACACTTAACCCCACTTTGCCCAAAGCCCCCACTGAAAGATCAAGGCTATGCTCACACTCAGAGAGCAGCCGTCCTCCTGTGGACTCACCACCTGCAGAGGGTCAGTGAGGGGCTGGTGCTATGAGACTTGGGTGGCATCTCTGACTGCCACCCCCCTGACCCAGAAATGGATTAAAGGGTAGAAAATGGATGGATGGATGGTAAAGTTTGAAAAGGGGTTGAATGAAAATAACCCAAGCATGTCAAACTTTCCACGACAATTCTGCTTGGGTTGAATAGGCACAAATTACATTTTTTTTCTATTACACTTTAATTGTAAACATTTAGCGGCTCTTTTCTATTTCTCTTAGGCAGAAGAGGGAAAAAAATGGCTCTTTTGATAAATCCCTGTACTAAAAGCCATAGCCACCCCACTGCAGCACTAGCTATTCCCATCAAAGCACCTCACCAGGCCCTGACTTGCTTAGCTTCTGCAATTTGACAATATCAGGCTTTACCAAGCATGTTTGGACACTTAAAATTTGCAACTCCAAAAGGATATTAATAACTGAAATAATAATTGCAGAGCGCTGTTTTCACACTTCTACATATTAGCAGACCTGAGACTTTACCACGTGCTGAACTGTGGGTGTCACTAGTTGCTGAGGGCTTGTCTTTCCCTGATAAACCAGCGACGCGCGACCCTCCACAGACTATGTCAAGGTAATTGACAGTGACTGGAAATATGCGGCATCATTCAGGCCCGACCCGTGTGACTAAAGGGGTTAGAGTCTGCCCCCTCCTCTGAAGCCATCACTGATATTCAATTTGTGTTGGAGCTTCCTTTAAGGGGCCCACAGGGATCTGATTTAATTAACATATTTTATCGTCAGGATCGTGCGTGAAGTCTGGAGTGTTTGATTGCATCATATTCAAAATAATAGTCACAATACATGATGGCTGACTATGTGATGACAATAACAGTGGCACTAGACTATGGAC